TTGAAAGCACGCCAAGGAGAGGGCAAAACTGATGTTATTTGCTTGTTAGCAAATGCCAGTGTTTAGCAGCAGCTAATAGATGAACTCACATTTAAGGGAGCGTGCAGATCATCATGGGTAAAATTTCGCCTTCAAATGCTGCTACCGCTCTCTACTTTTCAGTGAAAGAAATCATAAAAGTAAAATTACATAACCCGCTCATTCAAAAGTGGCACAGGCTAATAACTCCAAATTTCGAAACAAAAACGTAATTCCTTCATGCTGTCGAAAGATTGGAGAATTGCCAAAAGTGAGAACGTGGTCGCGAGCTTCGTTTAGCACACTATTAATGCTTCCCTAGTGGAGTAATAAATTGCTGTAAGGGATTTAGTTATAAATACTTCATAGAAAAAAGATCCTCAGCAAAAGATTAGAAAATCTATGACACAAATGAGGTAACTGTAGATTTTTTTCCTTGGAAAAAATGTGGCAGTAAAAAACTTACAAGATCCCATTAGGGGTACCAATAAAAAGAATGTACCACCGAGGATTTGAAGATACGAGTGGAACTTGCGGCGACCACATCTAAAAAGTAAATGGTATTCTGGAAAGATTTAAGGATTTCCGTACAATCTTTATGTCAACACGGGACCTTGTACCAAGTGATTCAGTTTATTTTTTATGATGCATGTCCCCAACGTCGGAAACAGCTTTTCTGCAGCAAAATGGGAATAAACCAAGTAATTCTACTCCCTTGACTGAAGACCGCGGCACAAGTGATGAACCCGTAGTTGTAGCCTTTTGACTGCCTGTGAAAACACAAATGCTGTGCAGATATTATTACCTTCATGCGAATGAAATGAAGCAACACCATATCTCCAGTGTCACTGATGCGAAGTTAAGGAGATGAAAAAAAACACTCGTAGGGAATTAATTTAAGCTAGCTTTCAAAGAGATTTTATAGTGTCATAAGAGCTTTTCACCATCTATTCCTCTGTTTATTCTACAATACCGTGACAATTTCCAGTGTCCAAGTAAACGACGTAGAAAAGGGGTCCAAAATTTGCAAATTAATTTGAAATCCAACTTTGTAAACCAGTGAGTCATGTAGATAAGGCGATAAACAGTTCTTGTGAATTTGCATACAATCAGTGGCTTACCTAAAGTAGAGCTATAATCAGTCGTTTCTTAGATTGTTTGGTGATGCGGCAATAATAGATAGCTGAGTAAAGCGATCTTTCAAAGAACTGGAGTAACTAGAAACACCTAGAGTAGTTGTTTACGTCAACCAAAGGCGGGTTCCCACATTTCAATTGACTGATTGGAAAACTCCGGAAATACACAATAAAAGTGTAATGAAAGTTCACGAGATTAAGAGTCTATGTAATGCGTTGGCTGTTTGTTCAACTCTCGGTTTCGGTAAGGGAGCCACTTAGGTACTCCGTCATTGTACCTTCGCCGGGTGGACTGGCCTAAGAATCATGCCAGTAGCCCCAAGTCCCAGTATACGTCGATAATGCATCTTCTGCCCGAATACTAAGTCTTCCTTCGTCTTCAGGGAAGCCTCGAAGAGCTACAGCCCACCCTAGACCAGAGAACTAGCGCCAATCGGACTGCATGTTGGGTGTGACAACCCAGCCTGATACTCTAGTCTCAAACGATCGGCGAATATACGAATAAATATCAAGCGGCAAAAGATGTTTCATTAAAAAGAATTGAAGAATGCGAATGACCTGCTGTGCAGATTAAGGTTACGTATTAGTGTCTTAATAAACCTCACAGGTTGAACTACACCATAAATTTATACCATAGAAATTACTTAAATTTGTACGAATGGTAATAAGCCTCTACGAGTAAACCCAGTTGAAGAAATCACAGATAGCGCATTGTATGTGACTTTGGTTTGACCGAAGAAAATAACAAGCCCATGCTTTTTGAGACCCAAAACCACGTAAACGTGACATTTAAGTAGTTTGGCATATGCAATTACCATAATAGATGCATATCTTTCATTAACGTCTCTAAAAGACTAATGCATATGGAAAATTAAAAATACATATACATTCCGAAAAAAAAAAGAAACAGACGCGCTGTGCAAATGTCAGAAGTGAACGAACTTCTGATTAATCATCCACCATGTTCTTTGAGAAAAGTAACACCCCGTTGCATAACCTTTCTCTTGACCAAATACGAATTCGCTGGAACATTCGCTATGTGCAAATTTTTTCATGGAAAAAGACAAAACAGTGTTCCGGGGCAAAGCGCTCGAGCTTCTGCGAGCCAAAAAGGGATCGGGACGTCAGAGCAGAGGAAGGACGAGGATTATTTCCCACACGCGGCCACCAATCACTTCCACGGTTTATTGAATGGGATTGCTTTTCATACCTACAAATAATTAAGTTTATTTTTCTCATCAGACACCTACTTTTACTTCGGTATCCACAAGTTCGTCAAAGTAAGTTTTCAGGAAAAAAGGGAATTAAAATATTCAACCTATGTACCGCTAAGTGTTGAAGCCAAGTCGCAACTTAGAGGAATGGGAAGGAAATGCACGGACGTCAGAAGATGCCATAGCACACAGGAATGTTGATGTTTTTCATAGTTAATTTAAATATGAAAATGTTTTTTCCAAGGATTAAAAAGGCCTTCTTTTCGGCGAAACTAGTGTGGACGTAAAAAGGAATGCCATACTTAGTGTCTAACCCAATGTCTCTAAATCCAGCAACGGAGCCATTAATTCCAAGCATAAAAATGAATATGCTCGGAGGACAACAAGTCCCACAGATAAATAAGGGTAAATTCTTTGGTGGCAGGTCTATTGTGAACTTGCTCCTCAACTGCCATGTAGGCAATAACTAATTAGCAATACTTAACGATATTAAAGGGAAGATTTGCGGAAGTAACACCTTTATAAGTGATCAAATACACATAAAAGAAGGAACACCATTTCGATAAGCCAGTAGAGCACGTAAGGCCTTAAAGGTGTAGTACTAGCAGCGTACATTATCCCTATAGTGCCTCCGAAAGTACAAATCTGCAGCCACCTATCCTATTAACGAGGCCGCAGGGGATAAACCATAGCACTCGCATACCACTGGTAGATGTGCCACCAGGTTCACCACATATCTTCTGGTTACTGTTCAACCGTGTCAACCTCCTTGTGCAGCCAATTTCGGTCCTATTTTATTACCATTTGCTGTAGGTGAACAATAAGAAACCGACTACGAAAGAAGGAAAGTTCACAATGCTATTGTGACGAAATTGAATTCGATTTCATCACCTGCTTGCCATGTACAATTTGCGTCATATTCGATCCCACTGTGATTTTGGGATTTCATTAGATGTTAGCATGCATTTCAGCATCACGTGTACAGTGGACTAAGACTCGCAGTCTGAACCGGTGGATTGATGGAGAAAGTTGCCAAAAGTGCCGATATTGCGCCTCCAATGACGACAAGCTTTCCTCTTACGTGCATTCAGCGCAAACTCGTCTAAAGGCAGTTGAAGTGCATGGAAACGAAGGTAAATTCAGTTGAATCCACGAATTTTCTCAAATGACGCCACCAGAAGTAAGTTCTCGGGGGTAGAATAGCGGGATACTCAATGCAATCATTCAGAAGAGGTGAATAAGGAATCTGTTCCTAGTGCTGGAAGCCATTGTAGCCTTGTGCAATATTGCCTAGGTTTGATATTCGATGACCACAGTGACAAAAGCACCAAACAGAAAAGTATTTAAGTTAACGCTACCACTAATAAAGCTTTAGAATGGAATTTTCGGTACTTATAGTAAAGGCTGTGGATAAGCTACTTTATTGGGTTATAGCAATAAATAAGGCCGGCTTGAGATCGCCACAAAAATCTCTCATTTAGACTGTATCGGCCAGTTGTTCACATCAGAATTGGAACTGCATTTTGTGCAGAAATGTACAAACAATACTTTGCATTTCTTTGAGTACACTCATGAAAGGTATCGGGATGTAGGTTCTAGAATCTTCACCAAAAGGTTTCTTGCAAACCAAGCATATGAGAAGCATGATAAACACTTTGGAAAACGTACTACAGCAAGAGAACATTGGTTTAATTAAGACAAACTAACCAGTACGATTTGCTTGAATGTAAGGCTGGCCAGAGCATACACAAGCGAAGAAAATACCAACAATGGTACAGCAAAAGTCGAAAGTGGGTGCTACAACATACCTCTTGCATTTGGACTCAAGGGGACGAGATGCAAAAGCTAGTCTCACACAACTCATTGACTTAAATTCTCACTAGAAGGAACGATTCGTTTGATAAGGAATAAGGCTAAGTTTGGAGGAAACAGAAAGTGATTTCAAAAGTAGAGAACGCAAAATAAAAAGCAAAGTTCAGTACTATTGCACAGGATAATCCTCTTTCGTAGGATTTTACCTATCAAAACGTTTTTGCATTATTTGGCTCAAAGTCCACACGAACAGATTTAGAAGTCCATTTACTCGGCTGCACTGTCATGGTTTGGCAGATTCGCACATTGTGACATCTCTGGCACAAGGACTGAAAAACCGGTGCACCCGCCTTGACAATCAATTCCTCATCGAAAGCAGCATACGTAAACATGGGTTAAACACGCAGGTAGCATAAACACGACTTCACGGCTTAATCTTGTTTGCTAACAAGCTCTCGCTAAACAAAATCAGAAAGTCATTATTATTTGTGTTTCACAGAGCTTAACTGTAGGGCAAAAGTTATAGCAGTCACTAAGTGCCGATTTTGTGGTGTCTAATTGTAAAATCGTGTCGAACATCCCTAAATAATGCACGAACTTCCCCCTTCAACACTCATGAAAATTTGCACAATTTTTATACGCACACCGAAGTACGCGGTATGAACTGGAAAAGAAACTCCCGACGTTAATAACGAGTGAAATTTAAACAAGTCAAATAAAATTGCAGGGCCGAATCAGTGGTTTCAGTAGTGTCGAACGGGAGGTCCCATGTGGCGGAAAACGCACGAGGACTGTAAACACGTCAAAGTAGTGTAAGTGAGAGACTTGTTTCTACTTACGTGTTCATAAGCCGAGGTGAAAGACAATGACCAGGGATCTCAATCAGGCCACTAAGTGCGAAGCTAAGGAAACGATTTGTAAAGGCCTCTCCCGACGCAATCGTCGAGCCGTAGTAGGCTGCTGCATTGCTAAACCTATGCGGGCCAAACAACAGCAGGTATTAAAAGAACTCAAGAGGCAGATTTTGGGGAGGAGTGTATACCGAAGAAAACGTTGGAATAAAACGATTGTCTAGTTTATAAGAGAGGTATAAACATTTCAAATATGATCTACATGACTGTTCTAACAATTTCAGCCGACTGAAAACCATGTTCCACAAGGCAGGTAAAAGAATCATGACCGAAATGGTAAAGAACATACAGAATAACAAAATTGATTAATACAGTTGCCACGGAATGATAATGCATGAGGGTGCGAACTACAACCTTCCACGACAGCCTTTCTTTCGAAACGTCGCAACAGACACCATCCCTTTCACGACCATCGTGTACGCCCGAAAACAAGCGAATGTGGTAAGCAAAAAGCAAAGATGCACTACATACACGTTCTGCAATAGAAAAGAGGTCGCGGTATGCGTCTGCGCTAAGTGAACCGTGGGACAGCTGTAACTCAAATTCGGGGCTCCGCCCACCCGGCATTAAAATATGGATCTGGGACAGACCGAAGCCATGCTCCCTACCTCGCCATCTGGTATCAGTCCAACCCACCCGGATTGGCACTTGGAGTAGCAATTAAGGTGCCTACAAAAGTGGAGTGAAGCCGTTTTCTAGGCAAAAGAAGGGGCGCATTCACTTCCCTCCAAGGAGAGTGTGGGTTCGGCATTTTGGCGATCCCCGCGAGTGCGTGTATGATGGTGTGCACCCGCTGATGCGCACAATGCGTAACGAATGTTGATTAGGCTTGGGATGATGTCGCTCTCTTACTGCTTCTGCCTGGGATGACTCAGTCGGGGGAAACGTTGACGCGGACAAATTCCTCCTTCGCCCTCCAATCACACTACGTCCGCATTGTGCAAGAGAATGTAGACTTACCAAGGAAAATCAGGAAAATCATTGTGAAAGATAAGGTCGACGTTTATTTTGTTTCAGATTACCGTATTAGCATAGAGCTAAAAACCGAGCGCCTGCCGCTTACGACTAGAGAAAAATGCTTTCGCGGTGGAATGAGAATAAAACGGGGCAGCTTTCGAGCATCGGAACGAATGCAGGCATACTGCAGAGGCCATAGTAAGCAGAGGGACAAATCGCAAGCAAAACCAATGAGATGGATCAAAGTGGGCCACCCAAACGCAGCTCACTGCCTTTAAAACGTGAAAAACTGTTTTATATCTAAATAATTTAAGAGCAGATAACACACTTAAAACACAGCTGCGAATAGTTTTATTGCATTAGTGTCTTATCATTCCATAGTAAAAGAAATAAAATGGATTGATAGCGTCATTTTTTGAGTGCAGTCATCTATACAGCCTCAAATTTTTAACAAATCAGCTGATTCAGCTATACGAATAATTTTCTCGATCACTTCAAATAACTAATTCCACTGCATCCACGTAATCCCGTACCAAAATCCACGGCTTAAGCGCAGTCGATATACTTATGCGACTAGATATGGTTGATTAACACAAGGGTTGATTAGATTAGGTGTAAAAAAGTAGGAACAAAGAAGGGCAAAGTTTTTGGATTTTTAAAATACGAGCCACAGAGAGGAAGACCTTAACCACTAGATCTAAGTGCTCCTTTGACACAGTAATTTAGTCGGAAAATATACACATACCAGGAGACACTAAAAATGAGCATCCACTTGCGCAGCAGTGGATGTAAGCAGAGTGTGCAGCAGCCTTCCCGCTGAATAGAGCGTTGTTTCACAACCACTTTCTTATCGACGTTGTCAATAAGTGGTTCGGTGTCCTTCACCAAACCAACATTTTCCGTTGCACGGAGACCTTCATGCGATAAAGATTTAAGGAGACTGGTGATACGTGACCCGTCACCCAAGCCGTTCAATTTTGTGCTCCCAAGGGTCCCGTTGATGCGAGCAATGTAGTTTAGGTTTTTAAGAGCGGCCTTTATCAAAGGAAATGAAGACAAGTGATGTTAAAAGCGTGAAGAGGTCGCTCATAACAGATGGTGATAAAAAAACTACTGAAGGCGTGGATAAAACCATCTGGGGTGGCACTAATAGATGACTACAGCTACTTATTAAAAGTTAGTAAAATAGTTTCATTGAAAACTTGAGACCGATGATCAAACACTTGCAACGGCAACTGAAGCGCATTATCTATTGACCTTACTTAAGCTTGCCGTCGGTGAATTGGTTGAAAAAAGACATGCACAATATCTCTACCAAGTAGAGATTAAAAAGTCAAGAACTAACTAGCATACGAGGGAAGTGAGGGCTTATTGTACCAAATTTGAGATAAATATACACCCACCGCTCTTCTATTTGGTTGTACCAAAAGCCATCGAGTAGACTCAATGTGAAATGGTAGCATACAAACAAAGGCAATAGGCCCACAGGTGGCAAAGACTTTTGCGAGGTTGCGCCAGTCAAGAAAATAGTAGGCCAGTAGTGCTGTCAAAGCGATACCGAAGGCGTAAAAAATCTGAAATAACATACATATATCTAACAACGTGTATCCAGAAAATTCACCGCAAATATTAATAGGATGACACAAACCTGTTCGAGGATGCCACATAGAGCGCGGTGCTTCTCATCTACCGTTTCGAGAATGATGGTGTAGGAAGTGAGACCACAGCCTTGGCAACAAATACCAAGTAAAAAAGTGACAACGCAGAAGGAGGAGATATTTGTGATCCAGATGGTCATGAAACTCAAGATGCACATAATTCCAAGACTAATGTATAGTACACGAAGTCGCCCGAATCTATCCGCCAACGCGCCACACGTGAAGGCCCCAAAAAATAGGCCTGCCATGTGGGCGATCTGTGCAAGTCTGAGGAGATAGTTACTGTGACATATGAGTTGCCACTAAAAGAAGAGTGATGAACACAATAAGGTACCTCAATAGTATAGGAGAAATATCCGTCTTCAGATTCATATCGTCTGCAAAGTGGTTGACAACCAGTTACATTATAGGGAGGTTCAACACAGTGGAACTCGGTTGGGGCATGACCAAAAAATACAAAACCAAAGTTTGCGAACGCCAGAAAAATTTGCACAGTAGAAAGCGACGCAATAGCTAGTTTCTGGAACCGCCCAAAACCACCTATTTCTTCTAGCAGTAGATCGAAATTAATACCAGACATATTCAAATAAGGTTTTTCGGGCAATCTACCTAAATAAAAACACACTATACAGAAGTATGGAGCAAAAAAACTTGTAAGTAGCTAGCAAAGATTTGAAAGACTACTGCTAGTGAAATGTGGTAATCTGAGAGGCGATTAACTGACAAAGCAAAACAGACAACAAAATTAGTAATGAAAAATAAATCAGCCAAAACCACACTGTTCGACTATGGCTGGGTGAATAAAACTAAGCACAGATTTTTCAAGGTCATTCATTCTTTTGAACAAAATGAAGGTTAATGTGAAACGACGCTTAAGAACATGTTACAGTAAGGCAGGAAGGATTATATTCAGACTGATCTATCTTTATTGTGATTTCTCCTCCGATTATGCGGCTGCGCTAGAGTTTACCATCGTTGCTCAATATAACCGTCACCACTAATGTCGCCTAATTTTAGGGGATTCTTCCAGTTAATCATGCAAAATTTGACTGACCTGTTGAATTAAGGAAGGTGCATTGTTTGAGGGCTCCTAAGGTGGTTTTATAATTATTTAGCTTTACAAATGTACTTCATAGGCGTTTAACTAAAGGGAAACCAAAGTCAGTCGCAAGACGTAAGGACCCTAACTTCACCGTTTGCTTACCCTTTAAACGAACGTGTTATAATTGAGCGCACCTATGTTATAGAAGCTCATCCTGCAACAAATTATAATCAGGCTTCATTAAGTTATGTTACGCTTGAAAACCAAAGTATCAAAATTCTTGCATGAACATTGATTTGATCCAAGGCTACTTCTAAGACAATAGTTAAAAATGCCACACGTACAAAATTGAACTTTGAACTCACCCGGGTAGCTTATTTTGTTCGTTGGTGTTTGTGCCGCATGTCTTCATCCCATCAAAAAGTAACGGCAACAAAGTCGCCATCGCTAGTGTAAAAGTGGCCTGCTCTCCGACTCCAATTTTACTGTATTATACCTAAACGAACTTACTTCAATCTAGTGGATTTTTTACTGCAGCTTCGAAAACAAAGACACTTGCCTCTAATTACATGAATTACTTATGCTTGTCTTTCGTGAATCCATCGAGGACCTTCTTGGTGGAAAAATTCCGCTCTGTTAAAAGCAGTTATCATAACGTTGAAGTTGTGATTTCAGTCTGGCCATTCACTGTCACTATTTGTCGCTATGGTCACATTCCGTATTAATAAAAGCAGGGTTTGATGCGTAAACAGCTCTTTAGATGCATAGTTTTGTCGTATGCAATACAGGAAGTAAGTTATTTCATTGCTGGATTTGTTGGCAAAGCACAAACCCAAGCATTTTACTCAAGGTGCATCACTATCTCACGGACTTCGAATTCATGATTTCTTAAACCCAAAATACTTTTCCATGGAACAGGAGCTCTGTGGACTTAAGTTCTTTCATTTTTATTGTTTGCCATGTGGAACTAGTAAAATTTTGATTTTAAGATTTCAAATCACAGTATATCCTAGGGGAGAGGAAGTGAGAGGGGTAGCGTAACAAATTGAAGGTGTTCAATTAGCACTTGGAAATAGGAGGATGTATAAAAATGGGGAATATCGAGCCACCTATCTTAAGTTGTGCGTCGAACTAATAATCTCGGAAAAAAGCCTTTTCAAAGTCTAATGCAAGTATTGGCTCAACAATCGTTAGCTTCTTCAATTGAATACAAATAAAATTTCTGCTGATTATCCATTGCCACGCAACATATGTTGTGATGTCAAGACGGTGAAGGGAGGGAAGCACAGAAAGGATTTTTCATGCACACTGACAACAGTTGAACCTGATTTCCATAATTGGACGAAAAGTTAAGAGTTGACCAAGAACAATGCGTCGAGATTTCGCCTCAAGAGTATTACTGACCACTTTCATGAACACAAGTTAATAAGTCTCCTTTTTCGCATGACTTGCAGAGCATTAGGAGTAGACAGGATGTGAGCTTTTACCGGTTTGCAGTGTAGACAAAGAATTCAGTAGTAAAGGAGAAGACTGTGAATAAGATTATGCAAGTAACAAAAACCCAAGATAGCCTGTGCAAAGGCATTCAAAAATGAAGCAAAAGTCTCAGAGGACCTTTTTCTGTTGATTCCCGCGTCAAATCCGCCAATGGGATTCAGTGTTTTCAGATCCTCCTTGAGAAGTCAATTAAGGTAAGCAACAAGTTCTTGCTAAATAAAGCTTTTCAAAGTTCGTTTTGTTCAGCCTTGATGACCCAGGCCAACATCAATATTTCGAGCATGAATATATGCCAACCCCTGTAAAATATGCCGTATTTCAAATCAGTAGTGGTTTATTTAGTGGTAATATTGGCAATGGTCTGCTGAATAAACTTAGTTGGTAGTTTGCAATACATCCTCAACTTACGCCGTGGTAACTGATGTAAATCAACTCGATCAAATGTTTGCTGCGAATGCATCTTAAGACTAAGCTCGGTTTATGATCAAAAATCAGGGGTTTTGCGGAATGCCCAACTAAATCAAGTGATAAAAGAGCATCATAAGAAGTGCATCAAGAGGTTCAAACTCTCTCGTTATCTATTCCACAGAAGTGATTTCTGTAGGTCATCGGCCATCGAAGTGAAAATTGGTTCCTTAAAATCTCTAGTCATTGAAATGCAAACTTATAATTTTGCGCTGCTAAACAGGAAAGCCAATTTTTAGTTGGCACCTATCAAGCTAGACTTCATGCTCCTTATTAGGAGATAATCAGTTAGATTCGAGTTAATTAACTCGGGAGTTGCCTCCAAAACCATTAATTTTACGGTGTCATGTCCTACATGGGTTAAGAAGAAGTAGGTGACTGCAACGCCACTAAGAGGAATACCAGTTTGAACGATTCGGGGCAACACAAAAGATGATTTTCCTTCATAAAGATTACTATGAATCTGTCAAAATGAATCCCCTACAGTAGCCATGACATCCTAAAAATACCTATTCTACACCCCTAAGGTATGTGTAATGCGTTGATTGCTTGTTTAACTCTGGGTTTCGGTAACGGACCACCGAGGGCTCAGGCCTGGCCTCCGGACCATGCCGGTAGCCCCATAATCCTTCCGTACGTAGGCAAAACATATTCTACCAAAATATTAGGTCTTCTTTCATCTTCATTAAAGTCTCGATGAGCGCTTTTTTCTTTAAACATGTGCTAACCGACCCTTGTGACAGGGGCTGAATCGTAAAAGTGAGACCAAAGGGAAAACCTTGTCAGACTAATGCGGAAGTAGGCAGTTATATATGGAGTTTGTACAACTTGTATGCGTCCCCAAAGATCTTAGAGGGAGCTTATTTAAAGTACTTCCCGCACCTCTTCATGTTATGGTTGCTTTTTTAGTGCCACCATAATGGCAGGATATATGTAAAGTCCTGTAAACGGTTTCAATCAGTATGAATGGAGATAAAAGTTAATATATCTGTTCAAGAACTAATCGACCTCCACCAAATATCATGTTAGTCGTCTAGTCTGATAGAAAAAGCACAAATAGCATCACCGCTTAATAGACAAAGAGACCATCCAAACTGCTACTCCAATACTTTGATCACTTGATCAACTCTTAGTTTTGGTTGAACAAGTCACTTAAGATCCCACCTTAGTACCTCTACTGGACAGCATAGCCTCCGGGCCAAACTAATAGCCACCAGGTCTTCCGCAATCCGTTGGTTGTCTGTTTAACTCTTAGTTTTGGTAAAGAGGCCATTTTGGGTCTCCGCAATTGTGCCTTTGTCGAGCGGCCTGTTCTCTAGGCCAAGGCAGTAGCCCCAAGCCCGTCTTTAAGTAGACAATACATATTCTGCCCGAGTAGTATGCATCCTTTCGTCCTCAGGAAGGACTCGGGGTGCTACGGCTGTATCTTCTCAATGAATGTAAATATATTTATATACAGTTACTTACAAATCTATTTAATCGCTTATGCTTATGTCTGTAAATATCTCATTTGTAATTTACATGTAAATTGTTGTAAAAATAACGAATATTATGCAAGCGTAAATTTGCCGCAAAAATGAGTTGATTTATTTGGAAACCTCTGAGGCCCCGCTGCTTTATTTGCATAGATGAGTGGAAGATAGGTCCTACTAAAAGATATGCTGGTCCCCTATGCAACTCGCGCACCCAACCGATCAGGGTATGCTTTTATCTGGGTCGCCGAAAGCACTAGTGGGTGGAGCGATTGCTCGAAGACATTAAAGTGCCGTCACAGTCGTGTTATTAACAATAAAGCTCTTATAAAAGGTTCAAGTGAATTTAAGCATAGCTCCGAAGTAAGCAGTATCTGCGCAGTTACACAGCAAGTTTGTAACACTTTCGTTGGCACCAATCATGACAGGTCGTAGGTGACATGCTGCATCGGAAGGCGGCATTCAGCATAAGGCATTTAAGCAGTTAACAAAAGTAATATGACAGACATTGAAAAAATCACCAATTTATGATTCACTGAGTTCAATATCAGCATGAACGCCAATTTCAAAATGCATGCATCCAGAATAAATGCATTCTGCCGACTTTGTGGACTGGGCTATCATGCTGCACATTTAAATGAAAAATATGCATTTGTTTTTTTTCACCTAGCAACAGTTGGTGGGTTAAGAGGCCTAATGCACCGCCCGTTTGATAAGCTTCCAATCGAGCTTACACTTACAAACATTTATCCACCTTCATAGGGACAGGCTACGCATTGTCATATTTTTCTGCACTGCATTGTAGTTCACAATACGTTGATAGTGCACCAGATGATGTACCACTCGACAAATTTTTGCTCAATCAAGAGCATTTCCATCGTCTATAAGTGCTTTTTGACACTAACTTTTATCTATGTTGACAATAACGAAAAAGGGAAGTGCTTGGCAGTTTTTTATTAGAGGAATGGATGCGGCCTATGACCTCAGCAGCTGTTAGACAGAGTTTAGAGCCCACCGTTTCTCGCATATGTCAGTTTTAACAATTTCCTTAAACAGCCCTTGTAGATCGGATCCAAGTAACTTCTGTGGAGCGACGATAAAATCCGAAGACATAAATGAAGGAAAAAAGTCAGTTTGTCGGTTGGGAGAAGGAAACTAGCTATTGTTAAAATCATTTTACTGTAATCATAAAACTTTAATTGTCGTTGGTGTCATCGTGAGGCGTTTCCTACACACTTATTGAGTACCATTGACGGGCAATTTGTCGTCACAATGTAAGCAGGGTTTACTACTTTCTACCAAGCACTCAGATGTGTCACAACACAAGTTTTAGTCCAACTGCACTCGCCAACACCTTACCTGGCTCAAGTACCGATATGCTGCTGTGAACAGAAAAAACAGGACAGTCAATACGTATTCGTTTGAAACTTGAATAAAATGCAATGTCTACAAGAGTAATGACTGGATTCAATTGCATAAGGATTGTCGGCGTTGTAGTGGTAAACATTATTAGCAATAAGTCGGATTAAAACTTTAACTGGAACTAAACAAGAAATTAACATATTTGACCAACCTTTAGAAGAAATCTCGAAATGTAACATTCCGAAAATCTAATAGAAAATGCGGCAATCGGAATAGAGCTATAATGCATAAGCGGTAGCATTACATAACTCTCTATTCAACCCCAAAATAAACCAATTCTAAAGTCGTTCAGTCACACTCCCAAAAAGGACATATGTGAACTCTTTCCACTGTCTTCATATCATGAATTCCAAGCTATGAGTGGAGTGGCTTTCGATAGGTAAAATCAAAATTAGGCATCTAGATACTGAATCTCAAATCAGGTGTGTGACCAATGGAAGGTAAGTACTGAAATACTAATTATGTTGTAATACGTTATTTGTTTGGTTAACCCTCGGTTTTGGTAACGAACCATCAAAAGGCTCCGCCATTGTGCCTGCCTTCCAGCGGCCTGGCTTTCGGCCCGCGCCCGTAGCCCCAATCTCTACTGTATACCGGAAATACGTGCCCTACACAAGTACTATGTCTTACTATGCTGAGGAAAGTCTCGGAGCGCTGCAGTATAACTACCTCGCATTAACCAAGTTCGAGATACTTCACAATCAACAGGGACTAACACTCTTCCACAATTTTTGTATATCTATCCGTTTGAAAAGTATGATGAAAGCGGAGGACTTTTAGTGCAACGCAGAAGACTCAATATTTAATTTAATTACTGGCTTATGAACTTGTTCATTCCCTAAGATGCGTTTTTAAAAAATCTCCGAAATTGTAGATAAAGTCTAGGAAGAGATCAGTATATGGATCGGCCTCATCTATTTCCACCTAGCTGGAGTACTCTTGCGAATGTCACAATGACATTGCATGTTTGTTTAAATATACCCTTTAGGTGACATGCAGTCAGTTTACGCAAACGATGTGAGCGGGCGGACGTCATCGATCCCTGGGGAGGAAACGAGCACAGATCCTCTTTGAACGGATGTTTAAAATGGCATGAAACTAGATGTGGAGGAGAGAAACACGTAATCTGTTACAACATTATAATCTACTAAGTCGAAATTTGGTGTTCACATTAAAATCAAGCTACACTGCTTTAGTTATGATCGGTAAA